CACTGTTCCTGACACAGGCCAGGATGCTGGTGGCTTTCTTGCCCACCTGGGCACACGGCCCGTGCTCCCTGTGTGACCTGGGCTGTGCCTTGCCAGCACCCTCCAAAGTGTTTCATTAACCTCATAGCGGCTCCAAGCCTGTTCCACCAGACGAGCACCTGGCAAAGGAGATGGTTTGATATTCAAATCCCAGTTCAAAGCAGCAGCAGAAGCTCCTCTACTTAAAAGGCATCCCAGGGGAGGCTGAATTTGCATCCCAACTCCGAAATGCAGAATCCCATTTCCTATCCTCCTATGATGGAAATCAGCACCTGGAAGAAGAGCAAGCTAAGCAAGAAGGAAGAGGCAACCCTGGAGATCACCTGCAGATGCGCACCCTTCCCATGTCCACCAATCTTCATGGTCCACTCCTGACTCTGTGGGCTTCCACCCCTGCCTACTCCTCCATGCACAAACTCACAGCCCTGACCATCATGTGCTCAGCCATCTGAGCTGGAGGGGTCTTGTTTCTTCCCCACCTTTGGCCAAACTAAAGGAGTAAAAACCTTGCTCCTTTGCCCCAGGAGCAGAAAGCACGGCCAAGCTCGTGTGCACCCAAGCACAGTGCAAGACCCATTTTTAAATTAATGATTTAAAAAGAAAAAAAATAATTAGCATTTAAGTTGGAAGGCACCCCAGGGGGTCCAAGTGTTATCACGTATTAGCCACCCCCTGAAACATCTGTAGGGGGTTTGGCAAGGGAAAGCACGGTGCAAGATCCTAATGATTTTTTTTTTTTTTTCAAATTAGCATTTAAGTTGGAAAGCACCCCAAGGGGTCCAAGTGTTATCATGTATTAGCAACCCCTTGAAACATCTGTAGGGGGTTTGGCAAGGGAAGTGGAGATGTGGTTACCCCAAGCAGTAATATTTAGTGTCCTGCTGACTGCTGCAGGGATGGGTGCCAGGGATGTCACCCCAGGGCATGCAGGCCATGTGCTTGGGGTGGCACCATGCCACAGCTCCCACCTGGAACCTTCACAGACATAGGAAGAAAGACCCTGTGTCCCCAAGGGGCCAGTGAGACCTGCAGGGTGAAAGGATGCTCGTGCACAGGCTCCTATCTCTATTGTCCTCTCTGGGATACAGCTCAGGTTTTTGGCC